TCCCGACGTGAGAAACCGCGGCCCGACAAACCCCGTCCAAAGCGGGTGGTTCAGAGCGGGGACTCGCTCCCTCACCAGCCTCGCGCAAAGCTGCCGAGCTTTTGGCAGCGCTGCGCTTCCCAGGCGAAACGCTCTCTACGCTTTTCTGAATGCGCTCTACGCTGCATTTCCTGTGCTTACATCAAAAACGTATTATGGCACTTTCGGTGGCTTGCTAATAACATACTGCGTGACTGTTTCACACAAACCTCCCAAAATACCTGACACGCACACTCACACACGTTTCCAGCGCCGACCGAGACAGACACATCGCCTCCCCCCGGTTAGTCCCAGGCAAAGGGCGACGCATTAAACAGTAAGGAAGACATTTTTCTACCCATCGGAGCAAGCAGCTAGTTTTGCAAAGAGGCTCCTCAGCTCTTCCCAGTATATCTGGCTATTCCGATTTTGCAGTGAACTGACTCTATTCTTTACATATTTTAAATGGCCTGAAAGCAGCGATAATCGAAGGGATGCTACCCGGAGCCAGCAGAAACGCCCTCGCGCATGTGTAAAGCCTCGCACAGCTTTATGTATTACGAACCAAGCAGTCGAGGTCAGTTCTGGCGTAAACGGTGCAACCGCACGGAGCTTTTCATCGCTGTGTGTGTTTGTTCCAGGATCCGGCCTCTCTCTACCAATTAAGGACTCTGTATGTGAGACCTACATCAAAACCAGCACCTGCAAACGAAGGTAACAGCAAGAGGAGTTCATCCCTTTCCAGCTCGCTGAGCACTTCCTCCACAGCCCTGCAGTGCAAATGCTAGTTTTATTTTAACCATGATTCATTACACGCAAGACAACGATCCTTAAGCAGAACACATGGGGTCTGGCCTCCTCCAGAGCAAGAGAAACTCCTAGGGCAAAGATTATTTTGGCGTTGCCTTACAACAAGCGCAACTCACGGCAGAGCATGGTCAAAAATCAGGGCACAGCGAGGCCAGGAGAGGCTCCGCACGGCCCTGCCCCCGCCCCCGGCACGCGGGGCCGACGTCCCGACGTGAGAAACCGCGGCCCGACAAACCCCGTCCAAAGCGGGTGGTTCAGAGCGGGGACTCGCTCCCTCACCAGCCTCGCGCAAAGCTGCCGAGCTTTTGGCAGCGCTGCGCTTCCCAGGCGAAACGCTCTCTACGCTTTTCTGAATGCGCTCTACGCTGCATTTCCTGTGCTTACATCAAAAACGTATTATGGCACTTTCGGTGGCTTGCTAATAACATACTGCGTGACTGTTTCACACAAACCTCCCAAAATACCTGACACGCACACTCACACACGTTTCCAGCGCCGACCGAGACAGACACATCGCCTCCCCCCGGTTAGTCCCAGGCAAAGGGCGACGCATTAAACAGTAAGGAAGACATTTTTCTACCCATCGGAGCAAGCAGCTAGTTTTGCAAAGAGGCTCCTCAGCTCTTCCCAGTATATCTGGCTATTCCGATTTTGCAGTGAACTGACTCTATTCTTTACATATTTTAAATGGCCTGAAAGCAGCGATAATCGAAGGGATGCTACCCGGAGCCAGCAGAAACGCCCTCGCGCATGTGTAAAGCCTCACACAGCTTTATGTATTACGAACCAAGCAGTCGAGGTCAGTTCTGGCGTAAACGGTGCAACCGCACGGAGCTTTTCATCGCTGTGTGTGTTTGTTCCAGGATCCGGCCTCTCTCTACCAATTAAGGACTCTGTATGTGAGACCTACATCAAAACCAGCACCTGCAAACGAAGGTAACAGCAAGAGGAGTTCATCCCTTTCCAGCTCGCTGAGCACTTCCTCCACAGCCCTGCAGTGCAAATGCTAGTTTTATTTTAACCATGATTCATTACACGCAAGACAACGATCCTTAAGCAGAACACATGGGGTCTGGCCTCCTCCAGAGCAAGAGAAACTCCTAGGGCAAAGATTATTTTGGCGTTGCCTTACAACAAGCGCAACTCACGGCAGAGCATGGTCAAAAATCAGGGCACAGCGAGGCCAGGAGAGGCTCCGCACGGCCCTGCCCCTGCGTGCCCTGGGGTGCGCTGAGCTGCCCCAGCACAGGGCCTGGCTTGGTGGCCACCAAACCACGGCCTGCGCTAATGCAGCACCAGCGACCCACAGGCTCACCAGCACATCTGTGGCCTCCCTGTCGAGTCCGTGGTGGAGATCCACGGGGTCCGTGCTGGAGATCCCGGGGAAACGTGGCAAAAATCCACAGGGTCCGTGGTGGAAATTCATGGGGAACATGGCAAAGATCCACGCGAACCATGGCGGAGATCCACAGGGGCCGTGGCCACCCCACCAGGTCCACGGCGGAGATCCACAGGGACCGCGGCCACCCCACC